TGAGAGACTGAAGGAAGAATCACCGTATGGTGAGACCCTGTCAAGGGTATCTAGTTTCTTTCCTTCCTTTCTTCCTTCCTTCCTTCCTTCCTTCCTTCCTTCCTTCCTTCCTTCCTTCCTTCCTTCCTTCCCCCCTCCCTTTCTCCCTCCCTTCCTTCCTTCTTTCTTTCTTTCTTCTTTTCTTTCTTCCTTTTTTTTCTCTCTCTCTCTCTCTCTCTCTACCTCTCTCTCTCTCTTTATCTTTATCTCTCTATATATAAATGAATAAAAATAAACTTTAATTTAAACGGGTCAGAAAGGCTTGCTTTGAAGGGTTGTCTTCAGAATGGGCTTCTGAGGAATGGAGCATACATTTTATGTCTTCATTTGAAAGCCTTGGTGGAAAGTGCATTTAAAAAAAATTTAAAGAATGGTTCATTTAGGGGCCATCAGGTGGCATGGTGGTTAAGGCCCTGGACTCCCACATGGCTGATTGCAGTTCAAGTCCTGGACCTGGTGGCTTGCTTTTTCATTTTCCCTCTCTCTCTCTGGTCCAATGAAAAAAATAATAATAATTTTATTTTTTTAAATTATTATTATTTTCTTAATTTGTCATCTTAGTAAACCTAGAGTGTTGACCCAAGCCTGCCACTGGCCTGTTACAGGTTAAGAGGCTTGAGTTTTCTGAATCTATTTCCTCATCTTTAGAAATGAACATGACTCCACCTACTTCATCAGTTTGGCAGCCAAGACTGAAGATTAAAAAAAGATACTGAAGATCCTAAAGCCTCTTGCACAACACACAAAACGTTCTTAAATGGGATTGACATAGAGTTTGTTATTATAATATCTCAGTATTTATCCCTCATTGATAAAAATGAGGGTATTAAACAAGTAACTTCATTTTTAAACCTTATTTGACTGGAATATGTCTAAGCAGTGGCGATAAGATCACACTATCCCCACACACTTTGAAATAGCCGTGTTCATAACTACTCACTACCGGAAAGCCAAAAGCATACATACTCCTGCAAATATCACAGAGAATTTCAGTATGTTTGTTTATTTTTATTTCTGCTTTACTTTAAATTTTCTAGGACTCCTTTCAAGTAATATGTCTTCTAAATATCATCTTCTAAAGAGTAAAGAAGTCAGTTGAAAATAGGACCAAACGGTTCTCTACTGCCAGAGAGTTTCCTTGGCAATGAGCTTTCTATTCCCAGGGTATTGCTGGGGAAAGAAGACTGCCGGCAAATTGCACACAGGTTCGAGGCAGTCTCTACACAGTCCTAGCCATATATCAGGCTGATAAATAAGACTTGGGCAGAGTGGAATTTCAATGAAACAACTCTGTGCACAAAGAGAAAGGTTATCTCTACTCTTGGGATGAGTAGAGCCAAATAGTTTCCATCAGGAACTGCAAAGCTCTATAAACCTCAACAGCACATTCTGACTCTCCTAGTACGCTAATGAAATTGTGAAAGTATAGTTGTCCTTTAAATGTTTGTGCCTGGAGTTATGGCCTGTTTCGAATGACAGGAAACTGGAGACAACATTTTAATGGTTATGAATGCATTGAGAAAGCAGCTATGGTGTCTAATGAGACTTGAGAAGCCACTACAATTGAGGAACAATTTACTACCAAGAAATCAATTTGAAAATTCTATACAAGATTATCACCCATTAAATTGTCTTTCTTCAAAACTGCAGGCCCTAAAATGTTACTTCTGGACAAGGAATTTTACAAACAATAAATGCTAATTAAGCAATCTATTCAAATGAGTTGGTTGAAAGAATAAAAAAAGAAGTACTTCCTACAGAAAAAACCCTCAACACTGGTTATATGGCTGCTCCTGCCACTACTACTACTGCTTTTGGTTTTCTTCCTTTACCAAAAAATAAGTGGCACTGGGAGATAAACTGGACCCTCCATTTCCATACTACCTTACACGTTATGGATATCATGCATTGCAAATGAATAAATACACACACACTCCACCACACAGGGGCACAATAAAGAACTCTGGTTATGATGTGATGAGTTTAAGTGAACAGCGAGAATTACATATTGGAGTAACTATTAAAGTAGACAAGAATATGGATGGCTCAGCAAGACTCAAAGACAACACAAATGAGCACATGTATGTGCACGCACATACTCATACACACACCAAAAGGTGAATTTGTGTGTGGCTAAGAACCTTTGAGACCCTTTGCAAGTAGAACAACAATCTTGAAAGTCAACAGAACACAATGAAAAGGGCATACAAATATGAGCCACCCTGAAGCCAAAGAAGGAATATATTTTCTAATAAAAAAAAATGAATAATGGCCTGACCTACAACTAAAACACAAAACAAAAACCACCGGGGCAGAATTAAAACTAATTGCTGTCCTCTTCTCATACAAAGGGTCTACCATGTCATCCAGAGCCTTTCAGTAGATGCCATTTTAGAAAAGAGGAAAGTGCTTAGTTATTCTGCAGTCTGACGTGCCTAGGAACCCAAGTAGCCCAGCCCTCAGTCATCGGAGTTCTTGGATGATAACATCATTCCAGAGAAGACGATTTCAACTCAGAACATATTATGGAAATGAAAGCAAAAAGACATTTAACAACCCCATGGGACTTTAGTAGTGAAGATGGTGAGATGTTATTTTCCCCAGTGGCTGATCAGAAAACATTTCCATTCTTTTATTTCCTTTCTTGGTATCTCGACTTCCCAGGGAACCTGTAGATAGGAATTGGTAACCCAAGACTACCAATCTTAGGTTGGTTTTGCACAACCCCACAAAGGGTTTCAAGTCAATTTTTACCATTTGTGTGACACCAACTTCTTGAGTAATTATAGAAAACTTTAATATTGTGCCCTTTAACTTGAACACAGACTGAAAAGAACGGACTATGAGCATTGATTTAACATCGTGTGAAATTAAGCCTGAAGGGCATCGTGTCCTCATAAAACATAATTACTCCTAAAGTTTTATCTCAAATTGTCTCAGAGGAACTCTCACCAGCAGGTAATAAACAGACTTGGAAAAATGTCACTGGCCACATCAAACATCCCCTAGTCTGCACGCAGAGGGCAATTTTATGGGCAGCTAAATGTAGTGAGAACAGCTCTCGCTTCTCAAAGCTCCACTGGCTCTGATGTCTTGTGTATGCCATGCCATGAAAAGGGAAGTGAAGAGAAGGTTCTCTAATAAACAGCTGTTTGTACAAGACTGGTGTGTGTGCAGAATGCAGCAGAGCTTAATAAGAACCTGAAAAAGGCACAAAACTCTTCAATTAATCTTTTTCCCCCCCCCCAATCCCCAGTTTCCAAGCATAGCACATACACTTACCTGAAAGGCTAGGGACCATTTTGTGAATAACAAATAAAATGTAATAAAAACACAAATAAGGGAATAAACCAATACAAGAAATGAAATCATTGAAGTTTAGCAGCCAGAACCACAGCCGCCTGCTGGTTGGTCAACGAGCAGCCACAAAAGTAGAAATGCGATTCCTGGGCTCCTTGGAGGAACCTGCGAGTTCTGTTGGTCATTCCCACCTCCAGGAGACTCACATACCAGATACATGAAGTATGAAGAGCTCAGAAATCGTTCCTTGTGAAGACTGTGCTCAGGGGTGTATGGTAATGCCATCCTGGATGGCAAACCAACTGGGCAGGCTGGAGAGAGCCTGTCAGTCCAGAGGGTGGTGGGACCTGCCGTTGCTCAACTTAAAAAAAGACCCTCATTGTCATCAGTTCAAACCCACTGGAAATAGCCTCTCTGCCTCCCTCAGTCTCGTAGCGAGCGGTGCAGTGGGTCCGTTTGAGGACTGTGCAGTCACGCCCCTTGCTGGGTTATCTGCTGTGGTGTGGCATTCTGTTTTCACTCAGTGCTGAACAGTGAGCACTGTGAACCTCAGAGGAGCTCTCCAGGCACGGGGAAAGCATGCCAAAAACGGGTCAGTGATGTTTTATGAATCAGGCCTAAGAAAAGGCACGCACGTCTCCAACCATAGGCAGCACAATCAATCTGCTGATCTTTTTTAAAAAGTTAAAAGAGTAAGCAATAAATCAGCAGGGAGGGACAGGTCCTTTGCCATCAAAGTGTCTTGAGATGCAGTTTTAAATGACTTTGTAGTGACCTTCCCTACATAATTTCAAGCTCAAAAGACATTTTCCTCACATATTCCATGGAGCAACTTTCTCAGAGCAATGTCCTGCTTCTCTTGGGTGGCCATTTCCAACATGAAATGCCTGCCTGGTGACTCTCCTCTCTCTTGTAAATGGACAGACTTGGGATCTGGATTTGTGATTCTAATTATCTAGAGCTCAGAGAGCCATCTGGGCCATGAACATGTGTCGTGAGAACATACGGCTCAGCTAACACCAGGCCACGGATAGGGAGACAAGCCTGCCTTTGGTGCCATTAAGAGAAAACATTAAGTGTCATCACCACTATTCCACGGCAAACCTGTTCCAAGTGTAAGAGAAAGGCACCCTGGTGACTGAAACAGTCATTAAAAAATCAATATAGTGCCAAAATTGAGCGGCTCAAACTGCACAGAGAATCAATTGTGTGACCAGGAAAAAGCTGGTAGGAGGATTAAGCCCAAAGAAAGGACTGGATGATATTTAGTGTAAGGTGTGTCCTAGGAAGGTCTGCTATTGTTTACCCACCCAGATCATTCTGAAAGTTTCAAATCGCAATGGCAATAGTTCTTATAGTTGACCTTGGAGTGTATTATTCAAAGTCACATTGACTTTGAGGTAGAAACAAAGTTCTTATTGGTAAGAACTTCAGTGTAGAGCAGTGTCTAAGTTTGGAAAGCAAATTCGAGTTTGAATCCTTGCTCTGCTACTTAGAAGATGCACATGTTGGTTGAGTAACTAAACCTCTGTTTCCTCATCCATGAAATGGAAATACTCCCGGCAGCACAGCCTGGTAGCTGACTGAGACCTTGTTCCTTAAAAAATCCAAAACTTCGTTTTTTTGTTTGTTCGTTTGTTCTGTTTTTAAAGTTCATTGTAGCCTCCTACATAGACGTGTCTGCAGTTTCCTGCGTTTGAACATGGAAGAAATGGAGGCAAAGAAACGTGGATCTGAAGATTCTAGGGCCAGCATTGCTCCCTGTAGGCTCAAGATCAACCTTCCTACATAGACTGCATCCCCCAAAAAATATGCCATTGCAAACTGAAACACTGTCCTGAAATAAAATCTAAATATGTATGTCACTGGCCTTATTCCCGTAATCACTCTGATCCCACCCTATTCAATAGAAGAACACGTGTTGTGCTGTCCAAGGTGGTAGCCACCTGTGAGTTCAGCCCTCAACACTTGAAAGGCCGCTAGTGAAATCAGAAACTGAATTCTTAACTGTACTGAATTTTAATTAATTTAAATTCAAATAGCTTCATGTGATACGTGGCTCCCATATTGAATAGCACACCAAGTCTGAGCTCTGATAAAGAATAGGGGATTCGGTGGTGCAGACCTAGCAAAGGTGAGGCAATTACCCCCAGACCCCTCACATCAGCTACTGAAGGCAGGCTCACCCTGCCTCACAATCACTCTAGGGCGGCAGTTATGACAGAAACAGCACCGGATGGTAGCACCCTTCCAGAGCCACGTCCTGTGACCTTGGACAAGTCTCCTAATTTTTCTGAACCTGCTTTCTCATCTATAAAATGGGGATAATGCCTCAGGCTGTTTTCAAGGTGAAATGCCATCACAGACATCACAACAAATGGAGACCTGTAAAATGAGGGATGATGACAGACATCATTTCGTCGTATCCTTAGTTTTGCAGCACTGGCCATGGGTGCACCTTGCAATATATTGCTGGTTTTCATGGAAAGACAAAAGCACCCTCCAGGATGTGCATGCTTTTAGGAAATGTTGCTTGCTAGTAGTGGAGATCTATTTGCCTTCATTTCTCTATTCATTCCTACCCTGGCTCGTGTTGTAACTTGGAGCGGGGCACATTCACAATACCAAATGTCACAATTTGGGACTCGCTTTAAAACATGGAGCAGAGGGTAGCACATTCCTAGAGCATACATGAGTATCCATTTACGTACGTGGAGTCAAAATTAGATTTGCAAATTGCACAAGAATCGCATGTGCTTCTGAGCTTTATTGATTCACCCTAGCTGTTAAAAACGTTCTACTAAATCTAGTTGCTACCAAAGGACCAGCTATAAAAATAAAGCCTAGCTTAAATTAAAGGTGAAACTATTAACAGTCATCCTGTAGACTACTAGACTCTAATGAGTTCCTTTCTGGCATTAGTGGACTTGAACCTCAGCTAAATGGGGCTGCGAAACCCATTGGGGATTTCCTTGTTCTGCAGCTCATTGAAAGCTTTCCCTGGGAATGGCTTGATTTGCATCATTCCATCATAGGTTCTAGAGCAAGCAAGGACAGAAATGTGACACTTCAAAAGAAACAGGAAATATTTTATAAAATGCAAAATGCTTCAGTAAAAAGTATGTGCAAGAGAGATGTTTACTTGCAGGAACAGGGGAATGGAAAGCACTAGGGTTCTAAGCAGTTTCTTAACCATGGCTCTATTGGCATTTTGGACTGGATACTTCTTAATTGTAGGGAACTGTCCTGCACCCTGTAGGATGTTTCAGAAAACCCCTGACCTGTACTCACTACATGCAAGAAATATCCCTCCCCTAGCTGTGATAACCAAAAATGTCTGTAGTCTTTCCAAAATGTTCTTTGGGGATGGTGGCAGGGGTAAAAATTGACCCTGGGTGAGAACCACACTGTTTTGGAGAAAGTCTGGCCTGGTTCATTTCCTCTTTTGCCGTTTTCCAGCTGTGTGACCTTGAGCAAGTATTTGACCTCTTTGAGCCTTAAATTTCTAGTTTGTAAAAGAGATAATTTAGTTGTATTGGGTTGTCTTTGAGGATAAATTAGACAATGCATGTAAAGCATTTACCACAATGTCTGGCAACTAGTCTTCAGTAAGTGGTAGTTACTATTATCATTAACTACTTTGACTTTCTAAAGTGTTCCAAGCAAGCAAGTCCCTGGCTCTAGCTGCTTCTCTCCATGGACCCAATTATCAGGCACTTACTCCAAAGGGAGAGTAAACAGAGACGTTGGACTGGCCAGAATCTTCCTAAGAGTTCTCTTCTAGAAATGTCCTCTTACTGCCTCCAGATGAGAGCAGGACCTTGTGAGACTGGGCTTGTTGATGTGACCTAGGCACCTCAATTTATCTTTAGTGGCTCCAAGAATGGGGGTAAACCAATGCAAAGTCGATGAGCAAAAAGCCATTTTATCATTGACCAAAAGACCTCAACAGCCATCAGAGGTGGGTCCCAAATGCATTTCTGACACATCTTTGGCTTCATTACATTAAGGTTTCTAAAACCTCCCCTTTACATTACCTCTAAAGCCTCTTTCCATCTGCAGGATTGTGACAGACTGTAACCTCAATGAGGGAAGGACTCTTCTCTGCTCAGTTCTGTTTTCCCAGTCACCAGGAAAGAGCCTCACTCAGTAGAAAAGGACTCAGGGAACATTTATTGAATGGCAGGATTTCCCGGTACATGAATTTGCTTTATCGGCACCAGGAGCAAGACCCTGTGCACAAGGCTGGCAGGAGGGAGCGGGATGGCAGTCCTGCTGCTTCGAGCCCTGAATCCCAGTGGTCCTTACCAAGCTTAAACTTAGGACTGCTCCTCAATTCTTTCTGATGATAAAATGAGGAGTCCAGAACAGTTCATCCCTGTCAGTGACTTGTGAGGAAGACCATGTCTCAGGGCACTGGTCAACCCCAGCCCTGACACTTGCTTAGGTCCATGACAAATTAATGCATCACTGTGACACATGGTCACCTCCTCTGTCAGAAGTGGGGATGACAGGGGCCAGCAGTTAGCGTAATGGCTATGTCGCTGGACTCCCATGTCATCGACCGCGGTTCGAGTTCCAGACCCGGTGGCTTAAACTCATGCCGGGCGCGTGTGCGTGCGTGCCCAAGATCCCAAGAGGAGAATGGAGAAGAAAGGATTGAGGTGTGGCCATCCCCCCCAGGGGGGTGATTTCTCTCTTTCTGTCTCTCTGTCTCTCTCTGTCTGTCTGGCGAGCACATGCGCCCTAATAGCAAAAACCTCTTCAAAAAAAAAAGAAGTGGGGATGACAGACAATACCAACCCTAATGGATGATATAAGTTCCATGATGGAGGTAAATGGTCACTTGGTGTCTCATAGTTATTGAATGCTGGTCATGTATACACAGCCTAAGTAATCTCTTGCATAATTGTGAGTTAGTATTATTATCATATGCATTTTACGTATGAGAAAACAGGCTCCTTTAGCAAGCAGCAAGGTCTGTATTTAACCTCAGAACTTTGGACTGTTGGAGGCCTCCTGAACAGTGCCTGGCATGGGGTAGTTACTTACTACAGATTTATTGAATGAGTGAATAAAAAGCATGTCAAATTTGGGATTGTTCAGTAATTCTCAGTGTTGAGTAATATGTCTTCTTATTTCATTTTCAATTATATCATATCTACTCCTACCATCCAACACCTGCTGAGATAGCAAACCTTGAAGAAGAGAAAACATTTATGGGTAAAATGGAATAGCAGACATTTTGGAATTGTCCGGTTCAGGAAAGTTGATTTTAGGAAATCAGTTCGACTCTGCAAATGCGCAGACCCCTGGCTGCTCTTCTGCCCCAGAGCACCCTCATGCTGCTCTGTTCCCATCTGAACAAGACAGGGGAGCACAGTGCGGCCGAGGTGAGCCCAGCACACACGGCTGGTGAATTTGCTTTATCGGCACCAGGAGCAAGACCCTGTGCACAAGGCTGGCAGGAGGGAGCGGGATGGCAGTCCTGCTGCTTCGAGCCCTGAATCCCAGTGGTCCTTACCAAGCTTAAACTTAGGACTGCTCCTCAATTCTTTCTGATGATAAAATGAGGAGTCCAGAACAGTTCATCCCTGTCAGTGACTTGTGAGGAAGACCATGTCTCAGGGCACTGGTCAACCCCAGCCCTGACACTTGCTTAGGTCCATGACAAATTAATGCATCACTGTGACACATGGTCACCTCCTCTGTCAGAAGTGGGGATGACAGGGGCCAGCAGTTAGCGTAATGGCTATGTCGCTGGACTCCCATGTCATCGACCGCGGTTCGAGTTCCAGACCCGGTGGCTTAAACTCATGCCGGGCGCGTGTGCGTGCGTGCCCAAGATCCCAAGAGGAGAATGGAGAAGAAAGGATTGAGGTGTGGCCATCCCCCCCAGGGGGGTGATTTCTCTCTTTCTGTCTCTCTGTCTCTCTCTGTCTGTCTGGCGAGCACATGCGCCCTAATAGCAAAAACCTCTTCAAAAAAAAAAGAAGTGGGGATGACAGACAATACCAACCCTAATGGATGATATAAGTTCCATGATGGAGGTAAATGGTCACTTGGTGTCTCATAGTTATTGAATGCTGGTCATGTATACACAGCCTAAGTAATCTCTTGCATAATTGTGAGTTAGTATTATTATCATATGCATTTTACGTATGAGAAAACAGGCTCCTTTAGCAAGCAGCAAGGTCTGTATTTAACCTCAGAACTTTGGACTGTTGGAGGCCTCCTGAACAGTGCCTGGCATGGGGTAGTTACTTACTACAGATTTATTGAATGAGTGAATAAAAAGCATGTCAAATTTGGGATTGTTCAGTAATTCTCAGTGTTGAGTAATATGTCTTCTTATTTCATTTTCAATTATATCATATCTACTCCTACCATCCAACACCTGCTGAGATAGCAAACCTTGAAGAAGAGAAAACATTTATGGGTAAAATGGAATAGCAGACATTTTGGAATTGTCCGGTTCAGGAAAGTTGATTTTAGGAAATCAGTTCGACTCTGCAAATGCGCAGACCCCTGGCTGCTCTTCTGCCCCAGAGCACCCTCATGCTGCTCTGTTCCCATCTGAACAAGACAGGGGAGCACAGTGCGGCCGAGGTGAGCCCAGCACACACGGCTGGGCTGCCATTTTCCTGAAAAGCCCCTGGGGATTCCATCTCAGATATAACACAGCTCATCTGTCCAGTCCCTGGCACCCCCATTCCCAGCCCTCTGTTTTAGCTTGATCCTGGCTCCGTACACAGGACCCGAGGGGTGAGTTGTATTACCCGGGAAGGAGGG